GCATCGACTTGGAGCGAGAACGGTCTCCGTCCTCTTCATCAGAGTGTGAACGACTTGACTGACTGTTGGTCATTTTGGAGCTTTTGTTTTTTCGGTTGTGAACATGAACTTCCAAACTTGCTTTGAATTTGTCATCTCGACACTCCTCCTGCATGCGGGCAAACTTGCCGAGGGATTTGCTGCTCAGCAGCAGCAGAGAGCTGGCCGGCTCTTCCACTAGTTCCACTTCGTCCTCCTCGCCGGAGTTGTAGGAAGAGTTTGAGACGGAAGAGGAAGAAGAGCTTGAAGAGGCGGAGGAACTCCACTCTTCACTACCGGACGACTGGAAACTGCTGCTGGATTTTGTGTGGAAGGCTCGGCCATCAGTTACGGCGACACCTGCAAAAGGACTCTCCTTGATGCGAATCGCCCGTTCCGGTCGCAGTGGCTCACCCCTCAGCGGACCGCCCAGGTTCACCGGAAGTCCTGTACACTGAAGCTTTGCCTCCGCCTCATCTCGAGGAAAGTAAAGCGGCAACAAGGAAGCGTACAGGTGATAATCACGTCGGTTACTGGTGGCCAGCACCACCACCTCAAAGGCCGCCGGGTGGCGCTCCAGAAAGCGGCGCAGCACTCGAAGACCAAGGTGGGCGGCCTCCTCGGGTGGGTAGCCAAAGGGGCGGATGGCCAGCGGCGGCAGGGCGAGCGTCTTCAGGTTGCACTGCCTCGCCAGGAGGAGCACATTTTCGTAGCATCGAAAGAGGGCGGTCTCCGCGGCGGACCGGTAGCGGGCCTGGTAGACGGGCGTCGCCGTGTGGATGATGTTCTGTGGGCGAATGGCCGAGTGGCCGCGGTGTTCGTTTCGGTAGGCCGCCCCCCTGGTCAGCTTCACCTCGCCGGTGCGGACGGTGACCAGGCGGGTGAAGAGGGTGCGTCGAAGTTGAGCACCGGCCCGGTCGTAGAGCTGATTGGTGAGGGCGGTGCACCGCTCGAAGCGTTCATTGGTGGGGTGGGCCATCGCCTGCACGTCCAGGCGGAGGAGGTCGCCGTGCCAGAGGGCGATTGTCTGGTTCAGCTGGCTGTTCACCGGGAAGACCGGTTTCGGGTGGGCCAGCTTGGGCAGGCTGGGCGTCGTGCTCACCGATGTTTCCTGTTTCAGATTGACACTGACGCTGCTGGTCAGTGTAGTAGAGCGGTGTGGCCGATTGTGCGGCTCAAAGGTCTCGTGCAGTTCGAGGCGTTCTGACCAGCTGGGAACTTGTGAGAGGCAGGTCCATCGATGGCGGCCCATTGAGGTGCTGCTTTGCATCATCAAGGTCGCCTGAGAGGTGTTCAGGCTAGCATTTTGGCTGACAGCAGTGGCAGTAGTGGAAGCCATTTGTACTGCGAGACTGAAAAAAATGTGTTTTGACAAAAAAGTACAGAAAAAATACAAAAGTGATTCAGTGCAAGAAAAAAAGAAAAGTTAGAAGTTTTCAGTGGCGACAGTTTCAACCATTCTTCTCAATGATATTTGCAAAATTTGAATCATTCAACGACGTTGTTGTTCGTCTGTTTGGTTTGCAGTCTTATTGGTCTGATCGCCGCCGATCGAGTCCTTTTAAAGGAAAAATGTCGCCTGGCCGCCCCCGACAACGAAACATTATGATAAGCAAGCAGCACACCAGTGAAGAAAAAGAAGCACTGCAGCTGACTGCTGCTGCAGCTGACTGCTGCTGCAGCTGACTGCTGCTGCTGCTGTTGCTGCTGCTGCTGTTGATAAGAGGCATGCTGCAGCATCAGCAGCAGCAGCAGCAACTACAACATCGCCAATCAATCGCACTGAGCTGAAGTGCGAGCTCGGTCAGTCAATCTAAAACACATTGACTAAATTGAGTGACACTTTGCAGCAGCAGCAGCAGCAGCAGCCGAATCTAACTTTTCATTCTCAGCTGTGGAACTGATCAGTGGACTGCACTGGCACTGACACTGAGTGACACTTGTTTGGCTTTGTCTCCTCTTTCTTTCTCTCTTCCTTTTCAATCTGTTAACTGACACTTCAGTTTCTTAGTGCATCACACAGCCAACAAGGGTCGGCTTTGTGCAGGTCGCAGTGCAGTTGCAGTGAGATGAAGTGTGGCAAAGCTTTGGTGGCGAGTGGGGAAACGTTATATCCTTGTTATGTTTGCCGCCACTCTCTCTCTCTCTCTCTCTCTCTCTCTCTCTCTCTCTCTCTCTCTC